TGACATAAATATGCATTTTTATTGCACTACAAAGCAGATAGTATGTATAGATCCATTCATCCATTGGGAGTAATGACTGTACATGCATCCAGTTAAAGATTAATTAATGAGTTCACTGTAGGAAGGCTAGCTGTCTCAATCATTTCTGTTAGAGGATCTCTGATTAAGCAGCTCTTATCTGTATCCTTTGGGAATTGGACAGAAGAACTGCTTGTCAGTTTATAGCCTATGTCATTTGATGGCCAGCCTTTTATTTTGGATATAATTTGATATAGATTAAGTTGTTAAGACTAAATTGATATTGTTTAATATGATATTTTTAATTAATTTTTTGTAAATATCAACAAATTCAGAGCATCATGTCTCACAAATCTGAAAGGTGGAAGGGGGGGGGGCTGCAGATGGGCATTTGTCAAGCTTTAACACAAGTTGTGTTACACAACCAGTTGAAGATCTATAATGTTATATATGTTATAATTAATGCCTACACCACAGGAGATGTATAAACAAATATTACGAGGAATGCAAAAATCATTGAAATCCTTGTGTCAAGGTTGACATGATTTTCTTGCACTCTAAACTGTTTATGACAATTGAACAATATTTGACGGGCGTATCATGCTGTGGCGGGGCACTTTATTTTACATGGAATCACCTCCTTATGGAAACACACATATCCTTGTAATTTCTCTACTTTGACTACAGAATTTTGTATTAATATCGCTGTGTAACAGCAATAAATCTTTTGTGACTAAACAGCTTAATTTAAACATAATATATATGTGCAGAAAATATTGTAAGAAACACAATTAATAGGCGTACTTAATGTGCATTTTCTCATGATAATGTGGAAACATTTATTTATTTAATGATTTATTTATTTATTTAATTACTTGTTCTGGAAGTGTTTAGAACCATTTTTAACATAGTATGCTAATGTTGGCACTCCAAAATCAATTTATTTATGAGATGTATTGATGTTTTTGCACCTAACAATAGAATAAAGAAGAATGCATACAATGCAAGGCAAAGATCAGAGACATTCCGAATAAATCGTTTATCTTGCATTCACCGATCATTCACTGTTCATTTTGCGCTCGAATTTTTGGTCCGTTTGCGTTCTGCGTTTGCTCACTGTTCACCGACCATTCACCAAATTGCGTTCAGCATTCACACATCGTTCAGCGTTTGTTCAGCGTTCATTCACCGTTCGCTCTGCGTTCATTCACCGTTCGCTCTGCGTTCGCTCACCGTTCAAGTGGGAAAGTAGAACATCTGAGGGACTGTATTGATGAGAGCTATTCAACTGCTTCAACATTTTCTGACCTTGACATTTCCTTTGACCTTGACCTCACTTTTCTTAAATTAGCGTCAAACTTCATATGCTGATACATACTGATATAAAGTATTCAACTGCATCAATATTTTTTGATCTTGGCCTTTCCTTTGACCTTACTTTTTAGCTCACCTGAGCTGAAAGCTCAAGTGAGCTTTTCTGATCACATTTTGTCTGTAGTCCGTCTGTCTGTCTGTCCGTCTGTAAACTTTTCACATTTTCGACTTCTTCTCCAGAACAACTGGGCCAATTTCAACCAAACTTGCCACAAAGCATCCTTGGGTGAAGGGGATTCAAGTTTGTTCACGCCCTCTTCCAAGGGGAGATAATTAAGAATTGGTGAAAAGAAACTGGGGGGATAAGCCGAGTCATATGCCTACATAACGATCGATAAAAAATCAATAAATTCATTTTACAAAAATTTCACTTTTTGTTGAATTAGTGTAATGCTTATTACCATTTGCATATAAATTTGACAAAACCTGAATACTGTAACAGCGAAAATGATTCTGATTAACACAACAAAGTGGCATCACCCTCAATTTTCACAGAAACTGACATAAATTGGATGATATAACTACATTTTTTAAATAGAGTGGGTCATTGTACCATTTTTTTGACAACGATTAATGAAAGGCAATGGAAAGATGTTGCTTTTTACACTTGCAAAAATTTGGTATGAAGACCCACTCTACATAAAAAATTAAGTTAACTTACTTAAATTTTCACCGTGGTCTTAAAAAATTCTAAGTCCAAAAACGCTTGCTAAATATAGAGAACTGTAAGCTATTTAAATGGACATGTTAGTGCGTCTCCGTGGTCTAGTGGTCAGTGAGGAGCTCTTTAAAGGGACGTTTATTGAGGAAAGTGTTCGAGTCATGCTCTAATTTTTTGATTTTTTTTTTTTTTTTTTTTTTTGGTTGTTGATTTTTTTGGTTTTAATTTTGTTTTACTTTATAAAAAATGTCTATAGGAATAACATATTTTTCACTGGAAATAAAATATATACATGAAGTAATGAACTTATTTACAGTAAATTATTTAAAATGCCGGATAAAAATTATAATAGATATTTGAATACTTTTATTCCCGTTTTATTTATTTTACATAAAAGCGCTTCTAGATCACCATTATCATTATATACGATGTTAACATTTTTATAATATCTCCACAATAAGTGTAAACACTCAATATGCAGATTAATTAATAGAAGTCCCTACCCATATTAGACATTTGTGACAGTAAATGAAAGTCAACTGTTTAACTTGTTTAGAATATAAATATCATTTTGAAAACTACGGTAAACATTAAAATGCTTAAGTAAATTCGAACAATTGAGAGATTTTTTCCAATAAATGTTCTTGCATAGCCGAAAAATGGGCATGGGCACATGGCTCGTCTTATCCCCCTAGATTCTTTGGTGTCATCTTTTAAAAATCTTCTTCTCAAGAACCATTGAGCCAGAAAAGTTTATACTGATGTGTAACCTTCATTACATAGTGTAGATTCAAGTTTGTTCAAATCGTGACCCCCGGGGGTAGGGTGGGGCCACAATGGGGGATCAAAGTTATACATAGGAATATATAGGGAAAATCTTTAATAATCTTCTTCTCAAGAACAACAAAGCCACAATTAGTCATATTGATATGGAATCATCCTCAGGTAGTGTAGATTTAAGTTTGTTCAAATCATGATCCCCGGGAGAAGGGTGGGGCCACAATGGGGGATCAAAGTTTTGTATAGGAATATATAGAAAAAAAATCTTCTTCTCAAGAACATCAGAGTCACAATTAGTCATATTGATATGGAATCATCCTCAGGTAGAGTAGGTTCAAGTTTGTTCAAATCATGACCCCCGGGGGTAGGGTAAGGCCACAATGGGGATCCAAGTTTTACATAGGAATATTTAGGGAAAATCTTAAAAAATTTTCTTCTCAAGAACAACAGAGCCACAATTAGTTATATTGATATGGAATCATCCTCAGGTAGTGTAGATTCAAGTTTGTTCAAATCATGACCCCTGGGGGTAGGGTGGGGCCACAATGAGGGATCAAAGTTTTGTATAGGAATATATAGAAAAAAAAATCTTCTTCTCAAGAACAACAGAGTCACAATTAGTCATATTGATATGGAATCATCCTCAAGTAGTGTAGATTCAATTTTGTTCAAATCATGACCCCCGGGGGTAGGGTGAGGCCACAATGGGGGATCAAAGTTTTACATAGAAATATATAGGGAAAATCTTTAAAAATCTTCTTCTCAAGAACAACAAAGCCACAATTAGTCATATTGATATGGAATCATCTTCAAGTAGTGTAGCTTCAAATTTGTTCAAATCATGACCCCTGGGAGAAGGGTGGGGCCACAATGGGGGATCAAAGTTTAACATAGGAATATATAGGGAAAATCTTTAAAAATCTTCTTCTCAAGAACAAGAAAGCCACAATTAGTCATATTGATATGGAATCTTCCCCAAATATTGTAGATTCAAGCTAGTTTAAGGCATCCTCCAGTGGTAGGGTGGGGCCATAATGGGGGATCAAAGTTTTACAATAGAACATATACAGGAAATATCTTTAAAAATCTTCTTCAATCTCAAGAACAACAAAGCCATGATCAGTCATATTGATATGGAAGCATCCTCAGGTAGTGTACAATCAAGTTTGTTCAAATCATGACCCCCCCCCCCCCCCCCCCCCAGGGTAGGGTGTTAGACATATTTAAAATTCTGTTTTAAAGAACAGCAAAATCATGATTAGTTATATGAAGATAGAAGCATCCTCAGAAGGTTTATATTCAATTTCATTCAAAACATGGCACCTTGGGGTAGGGTATGCCTAGAACAGGCGATCAAAGCTTTATATATGAATATATAGGAGAAATATAGGAGAAGAAATCTGCTGACGAAGAACAGCAGGGCCATATTGACTCAGGTGAGCGTTGTGGCCCATGGGCCTCTTGTCTCAATTTGTGTTTAACTCAGGTTTTAAAGAAAACATTATATTTTTTTTTATTAAACTTCATATGCTAATATATACTGATGTAACCTTTTCCACTGCATCAACATTTTTTTACCTTTCCTTTGACCTTAACTTCATTTATTTTAAATTAGTGTTTAGCTCAGTTTTAAATAAACCATTCAAAATATTTTTATCAAACTTAAATATGCTGATATGTATTTGTGAGAAGTATTCAACTGCATCAAAAACATTTGACCTTGAACTTTCCTTTGACCTTGACCTCACTTTTCTTAGGTTTGCATTTCGCTTAATTTAAAAGAAACCATTTAAGATATATTTATGTAAGTTTATGCACTTACACATAATTTGGTGAGAATTTATCATCTATATCCAACTTTTTAGATTTCAATTTCAATTTTAAAGAAACTATTCAAGATATTCTCATCAAATTTCATACACTAATACAAATTTACATGTTGCATTACTAATATACCCTCAGCGGGCATTCATGTCCTATGTACATATTTCTAGTTCTTTCTCCATATACAAACTCTCTAGTTCTTCCACCCTTGTCTTTTTTACTTAAACAGGGGACACCAATTCTCTGAATTAGCTTGTCATCCATTAAAGGCAAAAATAAAATCTGGTGCACTAGTATATGAAGAATTTGTTTATATAATAAGTTAAGGGGATTTTTTTTTCAGGTGTGCATGATGCAAGTTCTTGGATTGTGTGTAGTCTATGAAATTCACATTTATTCTAGGGTAAGTATGTTTAATGTCAATTTTTTCTTCAATCTACTTTGTTGTTCGAGCATTAATCTTTATTAGGTCACCTGAGTCACTCAGGTGACCTATTGCTATCCATTCTCATCCGTCGGCGTGCGTCGTGCGTTAACATTTGGAACATTTTTAGCTTCTTCTCTGAAACCGCTTAACCAATTTCAACCAAATTTGGCATATAGCATCTATGGGTGAAGGGGAACAAAAATTGTGAATTTCATGGTCCCTGCCCCCCTGGGGCCTGAGGGGTGGGGCTAAACCACCAAAATTCATGCAATCTTTAAAAATCTTCTTCTTTACTCCTGGACATCAAGCAGTCAAACTGTTGGCATGATTGTAATAAGCATTGAGCCCTCAACCAAAATTGTGAAATTCATGGCCCCAGGGTCAGGGGTTCTGGCCCCAGGGTGGGGCTATATAGATCATATAGTGAAAGTGCATTATTTCTTTGAAAATCTTCTTCTCTGCTCCTGGGTATCAAATAAGGTAACTAAGTACATAGTTATGAAGAGTAAGACTGCCTCTTCCAAAATTGTGAAATTCATGGCCCCAGGGTCAGGGGTTCTGGTGTTAGGGCCGGGCTCTATTGATTATATAGGGAAAATTCATTAATTCTTTGAAAATCTTCTTCTCTGCTCCTGGGTATTAAATAAAGTAACTAAGTACATAGTTATGATGAGCAAGAGAGCCTCTTCCAAAATTGTGAATTTCATGGCCCCAGGGTCAGGGGTTCTGGTGTTACGACGGGGCTCTATTGACTATATAGTGAAAATGCATTAATTCTTTGAAAATCTCCTCCTCTGCTCCTGGGCATTAGGTGATAAACTAAGTACCTAGTTATGATGAGGAGGTGGACCCCTTCCAGAATTGTGAAAGCCATGGCCCCTGGGTCAGGGGTTCTGGTGTTAGGGCGGGACTCTATTGATTATATAGTGAAAATGCATTAATTCTTTGAAAATCTTCTCCTCTGCTCCCGGGCATTAAGGTGATAAACTAAGTACCTAGTTATGATGAGGAGGTGGACCCCTTCCAGAATTGTGAAAGCCATGGCCCCTGGGTCAGGGGTTCTGGTGTTAGGGTTGGGCTGTATTGATTATATAGTGAAAATGCATTGATTCTTTGAAAATCTTCTTCTCTGCTACTGGAGATTATTTAAACAAACTAAGTGCATGGTTATGGTGCATAAGGATGCCTTTTTAAAAATTGTGTATTTCATGGCCCCAGGGTCAGGGGTTCCGGTGTTAGGGCGGTGCTCTATTGATTTTATAGTGAAAATGCATTGATTCTATGAAAATCTTCTTCTTTGCTACTGGAGATTATTTAAACAAACTAAGTGCATGATTATGATAGGCAAGGATGCCTCTTCCAAAATTTTTAAATACATGGCCTCAGTTTTTGGGGTTCTTGAGGAGGGAGGGGGGAGGGGGGCTCTATTGATTATATAATGAAAATGCATTAATTCTATTAATTAATCATTAACTAATCCTGTCTGCTCCTTAGTGTTGAGCTGATAAATAAATTGCTTAGCTATGATGAAGATGGGAGCTTCGAACAGAATTTTTAAATCTTGTGGTCCTAGGGTCAGGGGTTCTGGCATAACGAGGGGGGGGGGGGGGGGGGCTTTTGATAATATAGTGGAAAAGTGTTAAATCTTTGAAGTCCATAGTTATGATGATGAGGGTAACTCTTCCAAATTTGTAAATTTCTTGACCCTTGGTCTTGGGTTCTGGTGTTAGGGTAAGGCTTTGTTGAATCTGTAGTGAAAATGCATTGTACCTGTGAAATTCTTCTCTTCTTCTGGGCATATCGAAAGCAAACTGAGTAAAAGTTTAAATGATATAAGTAAGCGTATTTCTACCAGATTTTTGAACATCTGGACAATTTGTCTAAGCATTCTGGTCCTGGACAGGGCTCTATTAATTTGTATTCTACTGAGAGAAGTTATTCCCCTTTTCCATTCACCTTTGATAATTAATCACTGTAAATAATGTATTTGAAAGGTTAATAGAATAAGATAATTATGCAAGAATGTTTATCGTATAATTCAAAAAGTACTTTCTTAGTTTTAATAATCAGGCAGACCTGTAAGTAATAGATAAATAAAAATGAGACAAAAATAACTTATGAAAAGTTCTTCAAAGACCATAAGAGAGGTCAATGCTAGAGGTCTTAATATGGGTTTAAAAATAGTACAGAAGCACTAATAGTTTGTTAATAGTCTGCATGGTGATAATGTTAAGTGGGGGACAGATTAGAACTTAAGTTATGAGTTGATACTGAATACTAGACTAATTATTTTGTTTATCCTGATCTTCCTTACTTCTCTTGATTTAGGGCAACAAAGCTTCATCTGTCAGTGTATTTAACTTCTAAATTGTTGTATTATACTCAGGTGACCGTTAAGGCCCTTGGGCCTCTTGTTTTTTTTTTGTCATTATCTGCTGAAAGTCTCATTACTTCATGAATTTAGTTAAAAGCTTTATTGTAATAAATGATGTAAATATTGCCTTGTGTGAGACCTAAAGTCATTAACAGGATCAGAACTTCCTTGCTGTCCCTGAGAGCAGACAATAATGGAATTGAAAGCAGTTATTTGCCCTACTTTAATAAAGGTAAGGCTACTTGTTCCTGCCAAATGGCAATGGGTTGTAGTTGATAGGTACAGCTTAGGTCCTGCATATTCTATAGATTCGGCTTTGAGGTCATCATTTTCTGTTAAGTGGGTTCGATTAGAGGGTGGTGTTTTTGGTGAGGTTTGGGTTAGAGGGAGGTATTTTAAGTTAGTATTTTTTATTTGATTGGTTAAAGTTCTTTTCATTTGATTGGTTAAGCTTCTTGACGTCATTTTGTGTTAGGAGAGGGCGGTGGGAGGTTGGTCTATTTAGCTTGTGGGGTCATCATTTTCTGTTAGAAGGTTTGGGTTAGAGGGAGGTATTTTAAGTTAGTCTTTTCTATTTGATTGGTTAAAGTTCTTTTCATTTGATTGGTTAAGTTTCTTGACGTCATTTTGTGTTAGGAGAGGGCGGTGGGAGGTTGGTCTATTTAGCTTGTGGGGTCATCATTTTCTGTTAGAAGGTTTGGGTTAGAGGGAGGTATTTTAAGTTAGTCTTTTCTATTTGATTGGTTAAAGTTCTTTTCATTTGATTGGTTAAGCTTCTTGACGTCATTTTGTGTTAGGAGAGGGCGGTGGGAGGTTGGTCTATTTAGCTTGTGGGGTCATCATTTTCTGTTAGAAGGTTTGGGTTAGAGGGAGGTATTTTAAGTAAGTCTTTTCTATTTGATTGGTTAAAGTTCTTTTCATTTGATTGGTTAAGCTTCTTGACGTCATTTTGTGTTAGGAGAGGGCGGTGGGAGGTTGGTCTATTTAGCTTGTGGGGTCGTCATCATTTTCTGTTAGAAGGTTTGGGTTAGAGGGAGGTATTTTAAGTTAGTCTTTTCTATTTGATTGGTTAAAGTTCTTTGCATTTGATTGGTTAAGCTTCTTGACGTCATTTTGTGTTAGGAGAGGGCGGTGGGAGGTTGGTCTATTTAGCTTGTGGGGTCATCATTTTCTGTTAGAAGGTTTGGGTTAGAGGGAGGTATTTTAAGTTAGTCTTTTCTATTTGATTGGTTAAAGTTCTTTTCATTTGATTGGTTAAGTTTCTTGACGTCATTTTGTGTTAGGAGAGGGCGGTGGGAGGTTGGTCTATTTAGCTTGTGGGGTCATCATTTTCTGTTAGAAGGTTTGGGTTAGAGGGAGGTATTTTAAGTTAGTCTTTTCTATTTGATTGGTTAAAGTTCTTTTCATTTGATTGGTTAAGCTTCTTGACGTCATTTTGTGTTAGGAGAGGGCGGTGGGAGGTTGGTCTATTTAGCTTGTGGGGTCATCATTTTCTGTTAGAAGGTTTGGGTTAGAGGGAGGTATTTTAAGTTAATCTCCTTGTATTTGATTGGTTAAGCTCCTTGGGGATCAGGAACTTAGAGAATAGATCCTCAGCCCAATAGGGGCTTGTCGTAAGAGGCGACAGAAGGGTGTAGTTTAAGGGGTAGACTTAGGCTCTGAATTTTCTGAGAGGCTGGACTTTAAGTTGGTGTGTGCTTAAAAAGTACAACCTCCCAGAAAATTCTTCCCTTTAGGTGTTAGGAGGGTTTGGTTAGAAGAGGGTCTTTTTAGTTATTCTGTTTGTATTTGATTGGTTAAAGTTCTTTTCATTTGATTGGTTAAGCTTCTTGACGTCATTTTGTGTTAGGAGAGGGCGGTGGGAGGTTGGTCTATTTAGCTTGTGGGGTCATCATTTTCTGTTAGAAGGTTTGGGTTAGAGGGAGGTATTTTAAGTTAGTCTTTTCTATTTGATTGGTTAAAGTTCTTTTCATTTGATTGGTTAAGCTTCTTGACGTCATTTTGTGTTAGGAGAGGGCGGTGGGAGGTTGGTCTATTTAGCTTGTGGGGTCATCATTTTCTGTTAGAAGGTTTGGGTTAGAGGGAGGTATTTTAAGTTAGTCTTTTCTATTTGATTGGTTAAAGTTCTTTTCATTTGATTGGTTAAGCTTCTTGACGTCATTTTGTGTTAGGAGAGGGCGGTGGGAGGTTGGTCTATTTAGCTTGTGGGGTCATCATTTTCTGTTAGAAGGTTTGGGTTAGAGGGAGGTATTTTAAGTTAGTCTTTTCTATTTGATTGGTTAAAGTTCTTTTCATTTGATTGGTTAAGCTTCTTGACGTCATTTTGTGTTAGGAGAGGGCGGTGGGAGGTTGGTCTATTTAGCTTGTGGGGTCATCATTTTCTGTTAGAAGGTTTGGGTTAGAGGGAGGTATTTTAAGTTAGTCTTTTCTATTTGATTGGTTAAAGTTCTTTTCATTTGATTGGTTAAGCTTCTTGACGTCATTTTGTGTTAGGAGAGGGCGGTGGGAGGTTGGTCTATTTAGCTTGTGGGGTCATCATTTTCTGTTAGAAGGTTTGGGTTAGAGGGAGGTATTTTAAGTTAGTCTTTTCTATTTGATTGGTTAAAGTTCTTTTCATTTGATTGGTTAAGCTTCTTGACGTCATTTTGTGTTAGGAGAGGGCGGTGGGAGGTTGGTCTATTTAGCTTGTGGGGTCATCATTTTCTGTTAGAAGGTTTGGTTTAGAGGGAGGTATTTTAAGTTAGTCTTTTCTATTTGATTGGTTAAAGTTCTTTGCATTTGATTGGTTAAGCTTCTTGACGTCATTTTGTGTTAGGAGAGGGCGGTGGGAGGTTGGTCTATTTAGCTTGTGGGGTCATCATTTTCTGTTAGAAGGTTTGGGTTAGAGGGAGGTATTTTAAGTTAGTCTTTTCTATTTGATTGGTTAAAGTTCTTTTCATTTGATTGGTTAAACTTCTTGACGTCATTTTGTGTTAGGAGAGGGCGGTGGGAGGTTGGTCTATTTAGCTTGTGGGGTCATCATTTTCTGTTAGAAGGTTTGGGTTAGAGGGAGGTATTTTAAGTTAATCTCCTTGTATTTGATTGGTTAAGCTCCTTGGGGATCAGGAACTTAGAGAATAGATCCTCAGCCCAATAGGGGCTTGTCGTAAGAGGCGACAGAAGGGTGTAGTTTAAGGGGTAGACTTAGGCTCTGAATTTTCTGAGAGGCTGGACTTTAAGTTGGTGTGTGCTTAAAAAGTACAACCTCCCAGAAAATTCTTCCCTTTAGGTGTTAAGAGGGTTTGGTTAGAAGAGGGTCTTTTTAGTTATTCTGTTTGTATTTGATTGGTTAAAGTTCTTTTCATTTGATTGGTTAAGCTTCTTGACGTCATTTTGGGTTAGGAGAGGGCGGTGGGAGGTTGGTCTATTTAGCTTGTGGGGTCATCATTTTCTGTTAGAAGGTTTGGGTTAGAGGGAGGTATTTTAAGTTAGTCTTTTCTATTTGATTGGTTAAAGTTCTTTTCATTTGATTGGTTAAGCTTCTTGACGTCATTTTGTGTTAGGAGAGGGCGGTGGGAGGTTGGTCTATTTAGCTTGTGGGGTCATCATTTTCTGTTAGAAGGTTTGGGTTAGAGGGAGGTATTTTAAGTTAGTCTTTTCTATTTGATTGGTTAAAGTTCTTTTCATTTGATTGGTTAAGCTTCTTGACGTCATTTTGTGTTAGGAGAGGGCAGTGGGAGGTTGGTCTATTTAGCTTGTGGGGTCATCATTTTCTGTTAGAAGGTTTGGGTTAGAGGGAGGTATTTTAAGTTAGTCTTTTCTATTTGATTGGTTAAAGTTCTTTTCATTTGATTGGTTAGGCTTCTTGACGTCATTTTGTGTTAGGAGAGGGCGGTGGGAGGTTGGTCTATTTAGCTTGTGGGGTCATCATTTTCTGTTAGAAGGTTTGGGTTAGAGGGAGGTATTTTAAGTTAGTCTTTTCTATTTGATTGGTTAAAGTTCTTTTCATTTGATTGGTTAAGCTTCTTGACGTCATTTTGTGTTAGGAGAGGGCGGTGGGAGGTTGGTCTATTTAGCTTGTGGGGTCATCATTTTCTGTTAGAAGGTTTGGGTTAGAGGGAGGTATTTTAAGTTAGTCTTTTCTATTTGATTGGTTAAAGTTCTTTTTATTTGATTGGTTAAGCTTCTTGACGTCATTTTGTGTTAGGAGAGGGCGGTGGGAGGTTGGTCTATTTAGCTTGTGGGGTCATCATTTTCTGTTAGAAGGTTTGGGTTAGAGGGAGGTATTTTAAGTTAGTCTTTTCTATTTGATTGGTTAAAGTTCTTTTCATTTGATTGGTTAAGCTTCTTGACGTCATTTTGTGTTAGGAGAGGGCGGTGGGAGGTTGGTCTATTTAGCTTGTGGGGTCATCATTTTCTGTTAGAAGGTTTGGGTTAGAGGGAGGTATTTTAAGTTAGTCTTTTCTATTTGATTGGTTAAAGTTCTTTTCATTTGATTGGTTAAGCTTCTTGACGTCATTTTGTGTTAGGAGAGGGCGGTGGGAGGTTGGTCTATTTAGCTTGTGGGGTCATCATTTTCTGTTAGAAGGTTTGGGTTAGAGGGAGGTATTTTAAGTTAGTCTTTTCTATTTGATTGGTTAAAGTTCTTTTCATTTGATTGGTTAAGTTTCTTGACGTCATTTTGTGTTAGGAGAGGGCGGTGGGAGGTTGGTCTATTTAGCTTGTGGGGTCATCATTTTCTGTTAGAAGGTTTGGGTTAGAGGGAGGTATTTTAAGTTAATCTCCTTGTATTTGATTGGTTAAGCTCCTTGGGGATCAGGAACTTAGAGAATAGATCCTCAGCCCAATAGGGGCTTGTCGTAAGAGGCGACAGAAGGGTGTAGTTTAAGGGGTAGACTTAGGCTCTGAATTTTCTGAGAGGCTGGACTTTAAGTTGGTGTGTGCTTAAAAAGTACAACCTCCCAGAAAATTCTTCCCTTTAGGTGTTAGGAGGGTTTGGTTAGAAGAGGGTCTTTTTAGTTATTCTGTTTGTATTTGATTGGTTAAAGTTCTTTTCATTTGATTGGTTAAGCTTCTTGACGTCATTTTGTGTTAGGAGAGGGCGGTGGGAGGTTGGTCTATTTAGCTTGTGGGGTCATCATTTTCTGTTAGAAGGTTTGGGTTAGAGGGAGGTATTTTAAGTAAGTCTTTTCTATTTGATTGGTTAAAGTTCTTTTCATTTGATTGGTTAAGCTTCTTGACGTCATTTTGTGT